CAATTTTATATTTTTATATATACTTTTGTATACAGTATGAAACCTTAAAAGTTAACTCCCTCATCCAATTTACAAGCTGTATACCTATTGGAAATACTTCTTTACGCAATTAACTTCAGTCTACGCATTACTATAGTATCTATTTTTCATTCACATTTTCATTTTATTTATGCGAATCTCTTGCATATGTATTTTTCAATTTTGTCTTATTTATTAGTAGAATTAAAACTTTGCATGTGTTTGGTATTTTGATTGGGTATATTTAAATGGAATGCATTGATGTTATACTTGTAACTGGAGAAAATGAATAATCTCATCACATAATATTAACCATGGAACATCGTTGTATGGACAGTGAACACTTGAATCTTTACACTATTTTGGAACTTGTGGAATGTTATCAACGAATGTAAATTGACAAGTAGGTATTGTACGCATGTGCATATAAAAATTCCTGTAAATTTTTATGTATATGTATGTATATTTTAGTTTTAAACATGATACACAGATATGTACATAAATAGAACTGGGAGAGAGATTAAATAAATCGCTCTCCCATTAATTTTAGTTTTCCTAATCAAGTAACAGAAATATGTATCAGATACCTCTGGTTCTAACAAATGTGCTTGTAAATTAAATGTTACTCGTTGAAAATCTTTGAATTGGATTTTGCGATAGTATCACTTTCACTTGAATGTTATACTCTCAAGAGAATGATATTGTCCTAATGTAGAAAATGCTATATTCAACGAGTGAACAAACTGGGCATTGCGGTCAATGTGTCTTGTAGTTCATTTTTAAACATTTTTCTGTTAGTTAATGTAACTTTTAATAGTTTTCATTGTTTGTTTTGTACAGGTCTTTTGAAGTATTGATTTCAGGAATGAATACTGAACAAAAAGAAATATTGGAAATGTTCTTTACAATAATGATCATATATTTTTACAGAATAAAATGGATGAACCCTAGAACATGTACAAGCGAAGCATATACCCCTACCACCATAGAGCACATAGCAAATGTGGCTACTCATGGAATTTGGATTGTTCCATCTGTTATAGGATGTTTGAAACTTATTCATAGATCAGTGACATGGACTCAATTAGTATCGGCTTATGTTTATGGCACATCTTTAATACTTGTTTTTGCCATATCAACGTTTTTTCATAGCGTGCATTACTGCAATTACAACAGGTACTTGAACATTTTATGCAATGTTGTTAATTTATGAATTAAAGTAAAATTTTACATTAAATTATATTGTAGGCAACTCAAAGATGCGTTACATCGTTGTGACCGTGCAATGATTTACATTTTTATCGCTGCCAGTTATTTTCCTTGGTTGAATGTGGATCATTTCCCGCATGATGAATTACTGTTTACTATGCGTTATGCCATTTGGGTTATGGCAGTAATAGGCATAGCTTATCAACAGATCTTCCACGAACGATACAAAATGTTAGAAACAATTTTTTACTTAATTATAGGAATTGGCCCCAGCATTGCAGTCATTAATGTTGTAAGTACAATGAAAGGTATTTCAAAAACAATGGGAACGTAAATTATTAAAAACTTTTATTTAATTTTTGTAGTACAATTATTATAACATCACTGAGCTGAAACTGGGAGGACTTATGTACGTCCTTGGACTGATATTTTTTAAATCTGATGGTCGGATACCATGCGCTCATGCTATTTGGCATGTTTTTGTTGCAATAGCGGCAGGATTTCATTATTACGCTATACTGTGTCATGTTTTCCCCGCATCGGGTTCTCCGGACATTTATGTAGCGGCAGGTGTATCATCTTTGCCTGCATTATTAAAATCTCAGATTGAAGATTTATGAGAATCCTTTCTTTGATGTTGCAATTTTTTAAAATAATTCTAAAAATTAGGATCTCCAAGGTAAAAACCTAATTTAAATGTTTCAATCAAAAGATTATATTTCATTGCTGTGATCAGAAGTTACCTTCGATAGTTTGGTTTAATCGACGAGTATTCTTTCCAGAGAAATACCAATTTGTGTATATACTAAAAGAAAAAGACATTATAGAAAATGTAAATATACTAGACAAGTAATTATGATAAGTACCTGAATTAGAAAAATAATTAGTCCTGTGAATTGTGAATGCTTATGAAATCAAAAATATTGCTGAAGGAGTTGGTAAACTCAAATTGACATATGTTTATATTAAACTAGAAAATTAACAGCATGTACTAAAATTAGTACATCAAAGCAGTACTGTCTGGTAATGCTTAACTATTATAATAGATATTGTATGTATATTAATGTATACCAAGACCATGTAACAATTATTTTAAAGAAGATTTCTAATAAGTTTCCTTATAATCCAATCTTTTGTATGTATCTATGTATCAATGTATACTATGCAGAGTTCAATTTGTACAACACAATGAAAAACTAAGTAGCATTTAAATTGACTGAACACATTAGACTTTTAACATAGTTTATATTATTCTTGTACTTGCAAATTGTGCCAAATTTTGTATTTTAGATGCCAGTTATACAGTTTCTATTCTAAGAAAGGTAATAAATGGTCTCGTAGTAATACCAGTTTTTAATTTCATAAAATGATTATATCTCCAGCTACTTATTTTTGACACTTATACATGTATATGTAATAATATGTATTATGTAATATTGTATGATAATCATTACAAGCGAATGTACAAAATCTTAATATCTCCTGATTTTCTGTATATCTTATGACGTGCCTATTAAATATCGTTTTTCGAGTATGCGATCATTTTATTATTAATGTTGTAAATCAATAAAACTTTTGCCAAGTGATTGATATAGTTTACTGTTTATTTCTTTTCTCGGACCCTCATAAAAAACCCCAGGAACCCCCATAAAAAACCCCTCGGATCCCATGAGAAACTCCTTGAAGGAACCCCATAAGAAAGCCCTTGGAACCCCATAAGAAACCCCTCGGATCCCATGAGAAACCCCTTGGAACCCCATAAGAAACTCCTCGGACCCCTTGAAGGAACCCCCATATGAAACCCCTTAGAACCCCTCGGGAAACCCCTCGAAAAACCTTTCGAAAACTCACAAGAGACCCTCGAACCCCCCGGAGAGATTTCTTGGGGGTTCTAAGACCCCCTCGACAGCTCGTGTTTGATACCCGAGTGGCATCTCTTGGGGGTTCGAGGGGTTTCTCTTTAGAATTCGGAAGGGAGTTAAATGCTTTCTTTATACAATCAATCTACGTGTCATAATTAATTGTTTATTGTCGAATATTTATTAAACATTTCATTCATAACACAGAATAGTCGTGTCTAATCTATTAAAATCTTGCGAAGGTAATTTAAGAAAATAATTTTAAAAAATCCCGCCTCCCCCATCGGTGGCGCCACCTAGTGCAAAACGGCTCAAAGTTCTAGTCAATTAGTACCACACTGTGTCCGCTAGATGACACCGAAAGCGACTTCCTTAGGGACGCGAAGACCCTACCCGAAAATCGCTAATAACTTATTAATTACTAGTCGAATCTCGTTTAAACTGCTACTGAATGTTCCCAAGGGTCTACCCTAATTTCTTCGATCATAAATGTTTACAATTTGTTCCTATTAAGTGAGAAACTAATTGTTTATTGGGCACCTGTCAAAAAATTCTAGGTTACCTTGCGACATCGACTCTGAAATAATTAATAAATAATTAATGAGGCGCAAAATCTTAACCAAAGGCATATGAGAAAGTAGGGGAGGGTCTAATCTATAATTAAAAATTACAAATGTTCATAAATGATGTTTGATAGTTGAGTTATTAATGAATTAGCTGTTCTTCTCCACATCGAGGCGACGCATTTAGTTCCTAGCTTCCACCGCTAGATGGCGCCACCTAAATTGCCATTCTGGAGACCTCCACGGCCCTGATGCTTCGCGCGTACGCACCAGGGACCGATGAGATGCTTTTTCCAAGGAGGCGGCAAGAGAGAGACTATTTCTGTCCTTGTCGCACACTATCTCTGTCCTTGTCTTACACATTGCGGGTATAGGGAAAAGCTTCGAAAACGGCAGTCCGCTAGATGGCGCTAGTGTCGCTCGGAATCAAAATTTTCTTTTAAAAAAATTGCCTTTTCTTGTCTTACTCATTACGTGTAAGATATACTTACAGTACCAATTATTGGGAAATGATTTGTTCAGATACATTAACTAATAATACGTATATATAAAAATTCAAATGACGCTTTATTCGTTACTTAAATACCACTTAATGTTTACACATTTTATTACAATTGATTATAAAATTCATAGACAATATTTCTTATTTACATTGTTTTGTACATTAATAAAAAAAAAAATGATACCGACGAGATACAGAGTGTTTAATGAAACACTGTGTACAAATGACGATTTAAATTCCCGACACCTTGTTGGAATTTAAATAGTTATAAAATAGGAGCCCGTTGGCTCGAGGACAGTCCGAATGTTGTTTCCTTGAAATATACACGAGGTGTTAATAGATCAATTAAAAGTTCATTTGCCAAGAATTTATCGTTCTCCGGGAGTTCCTTTAAAACATTGCGAACATGGAATCCATCCTATTGTTTTTCAATTCAGCTTCTGCAGCGTCAACTGTTGTACATCCTTTGCTTTCTCATAAGAGAAGGAGTTAAAACTATGGCGTTCCTCGGTTTCGTTCTGCAAGACTGATCAATGATTTCTATAGTACACTTGCTTTAAATGACTGCATACAATTGACGATACAAATGATACTTACAATTATACGAGGTCTTACATTCTTCTGTTATATCCAATGCCGACGTGAAGTCTCCGGTATTGGAGTCTATGGGATTACACGAACTCAAATGTTTCGACATCAGTTCACTGTTCATGGATGATATGTAACCTGTATTATCAGGTGGCGAGGATATCACGGTCACATCGGATATAGCAGTCGAGTTTGCAATTTGTTTCATCGTCATTTCACCATCTAAGTATGTGTCATCCTACATGTAATGTAACAAACACATTAAAATACTCAAATCTATCTGGTAACACATCATACAGTGTCAAAAGAATGTCACCACATTTTGAACATGAAATAAAGTGAAATAAAATAAAATAAAATAGAATGAAATAGAATGAAATAGAATGAAATAGAATGAAATAGAATGAAATAGAATGAAATAAAATTCAGTGTTTCACCAGCTGGTAACAGTTTTCAATGACACCCTGCATTATTTTACTTACATCATCCTCCGTTTCCACTAAATTCCTAGCTTCCCTGAATCTCTGAAGAATTCTATCATGCGGTGACGTTACAGTGAACTGACGAGGATAGGAGAATTCTTTCTTCGCAGGAGTCATACCTGTGGGAACGTCGTGCTGTATTTCTTCCTCGAAGAACTTATCAATTTCATCTATGGCTGTGTGCAGTTGCTCGACGTTCCTGTTGCAACATTCATTCGATTCCAGGATTAAATTGTCCAATTTACTAGATATGTTCTGGGAGGCATTGGCAAGTTCGATTTCCACGGTTTTCATTGCATGATTCTCATTCGCGTCGTTGAGTATCTTATTCGCGTTGTCCAACAGATGCAGAGCTTCGTTTTTGTCCGTGGCCATCGCGTGCTGCGCTTCCTCCACGCTCCACTTAACTTGGTTCTTGTACTGCTTCAATATATTACAGCTTGTGTCTATGTTCGACTTCAATTCGCAGACCATGTTCTTCCCTTCCATCATGGTTTTGTTCACCAGCTTCTCGTTTCTCTCCGTTCCAGTGACGACGTCGCTCTCGATGGCTTCCAAATGATTTTGCACGTGTCTCTGCAGAGTGGTTCCCATCTTCACATTGCTGTCGCGAGTGTCCACCGCATGCACGTTAACCTGATCGCAGATATCGCGAGCATAATTACACTTGTCAGCCACCATGGAGTAATGTTCGTTCTCGCTCCTGCTTAGAAGATCGAACTGAGAAGACACGTCGCCCATCATCCTCGCGAACGAACGTTGCTTCTCCGTGAGCTCTTGCCTCTTGCAAACTTCGTCTAGATCTTCTTTGATCGCCTCAATGTTTCTACCGATGCTGTCGCAAGCGATCAGTTCCTCGTTGCAAAGAGAGCTCACCATTTCCTTCAACTGGCTCGACGTTTCTCTGACCTTCTCCAGTAAATTGTTCTTCAGAGACTGCAGATTCTTGGTGATCTCGTTTCTAATTAACTTATCGATCTCCTCTGTCGACGTCAGGGAGACAGCACTGAAGAATTCGTGTTTGTTCTGCAGCGCGTCCGCCGCGCCGATCATCTCGTCCTTCATCCAATTCTGATAACTCGAGTACAGTTCGTTTATTTTCTCTTTTAAATTATTCACTACCAAATCGTTCTCGATCAGATCCGCCGAACGCGAGTACATCTCTGGATCGATCATCTCGGATCTCATGATGGTCTCGGCGTCGATGTTGTTTCTCATCGACGCGGAGAACTGTTTAATGTTCTCCCCGTATCTGCAGATGTCATTTTCGATGCCTCGTAGATTCTCGCGGATACTGTTCTTAAATTGCTCCCCGAGCATCTCGAACTTTTGCTCCGCGTTCTTCTTGCGACCGATCTTCTCGTGAAGCTTACGAGAATCCGCGGTTGCCGTGTCCGCGACGTTCACCAGCGACTGAGCTTGAGCCAACAAAGCTTCTTCGGTGTTGACATGCTTCTCCACGAGATACTTCTGCTCGTCCCTCTCTTGATTCGTGATTTTCAAACGTTCGTGCGTCGACTTCAAAGCTTCCGCAGCGTTGTTCAATTTATTTTTAGCCTTATCCAACTCTTGCATTTGCGCTATGTTTTGTAATTTAAGCTCGTTGTATATTTTCTGAAAAGAAATGCAACAAAAATTGTATTTCACCGTTGCAACTGAATCACTCGCATAATAGTTACCTCTCTATCTTGCATGGATTTCTCCAAAGCTTTTATATTGTTGATCTTCTCCTCGATTTCTTTGCTCTGCTGGGAAATTAACGCTTTCATTTCATTGTAATTGTCGTCTGCGAGGTACACACCGTTTCTTTCGCGCGTGGCCAATAAATCTCGACGCAGTCGTTCTATTTCTCCAGTGTACTGTTTGAGAAATTCTTTCTTCGACAGCTTCTGATTTATTTCGGGACGGTTGGTAATATTCTTTGCTCGACGAGCATAGTCCAACGTGGACAGAGTTTCCTCGTGGTTGATACTGGCAGGGGAGATGGTTGCAATGATTGACGTCTTTGTGCGTCCACCTAATGATTCTTGCAACAATCTTGTAAGCTTAGATTCTCTGCGTGATGAATAAATGGAAATTATTATAATATTCTTTTGGTCCGATAGGAGCAAGTTGTAGGTATCAACTTGATTACCTGTAGGGTATGTGAGGCGCTCTCTCAACAAGAGCTGTTATAACTCTACCAAGAGTTAATAAAGATTGATTGATACTACCAGCTTCTCTTGCTCTTCTATCAATGGCACCGGACCTACCGACGTTCTCACTGCCTGCTAAATCTACCAAATTTAGTTTACCGGTTTTTAATACTTCTTCGCCGTCGATAGTGTTCTCTTTCATGTGCACGGTGATTGAAAATACCGTATGCGATCGGCTAGAATGATTTTTAAACATATTATTAGTGAACAGTCGCGATAAAATGCTTGAAGTAATACAAATACACTGTGTCTGTGCGTATACAAGATAAAATCCTGACCTAGAATGAGCATTCATCAGTGTCGCAGCAATTTGTCTTCGTTCTAATCCCTTTTCAAGGATTTTATAAACTTCACTTTTATTGAGTACTGTTATTTCTTCTAATCCGTGAATAATTACTGCACCTTTCTTTGATGCGTCTTCGTATAATCTAATAAAATGCGTTTATTCCGATATATCAAGTTTATTGGAATATATAAGCAGATTAAGAAAATTTGTATTTTATACCTTATTTTAGAGCCGTCATCGCTAGCGGATAAAAGATCGAATAACTCCTCGTTATATAGTTCCAAAAAACTAACTCTAATCGTGTACTCCTGGGCTTCTAGTAATTGTAACTCGTCGAATAAATGGCTTAAAGAACGTGGAATCATGCCAGCGGAAGAATCCTATATACAGGGAATAATGATTAAATAACATTAATTCGTTATCTCTGGCTAATTATCTAATAATTATCTCGGACTCGTTATCTAATAACTTACGCTTCGCCAATGTAAAGTTGGATCGGTGTTAATTCCTTCCATTGTGAAAGTTTTTCCAGTACCAGTTTGTCCATACGCGAATACTGTACAATTGTATCCAGCCAATACTTGTTCCAATAATGGACTGACAACAGCATTGTAGACATCAATCTAATAAGCGATAAAACATTAATTAATAAAATTAAACAGGTAACAGAATGTACGATAGGAAATGTGTGATACGAAGATAATTATGATGACATATATAATGATAATTACACTTCAATGCATATGACTTCTACTTATACTAAAACAATTTATACCTGTTTCGAAGAGGGTCCAAATACATTATCAAATTTGAATTTCTTTATTGACTTCTCTTTTGGAAATTCATGTACTATCACTTCTTTGTCGTTTGGAACTTCTACTATTGACGATGATTTATTATACTCTTCGGTTGCAATTAGAGGCCTGTAAAAATAGGCGTACGTTGTAACACATCAAGTTGAAATAAATATTGACAATGGAAGATAAATAAGTTGGTGGTTGCTTACCTAACACGAATAAAAACCTGTATATTTTGCGATTTATCTTTCTTTCCGATCCGTGTGTTCATGTTTCCTTTATTTCAACTCCACTGATTTTTGGCACATTAATAATATTGTGTGTTTCACTCTGTATGAAAATTGTCGCACTTTCTGAAACTTTCATCTGTTACGATGTAAACGGAAAAAGATTTAAAACGCATAGTACTCCAAGCGACCGTTAGGAACGCTGCGTTACATTCAAAAACATGCGTTCCTCAAAATACATTTAAAATTGAATTCATAGTTTGACTATATTTTTGAGAAGTACAATATTTCCTTTGTACACTTTAAAATAGTCAACTTTGTAAATAAGAAGAATTATTTATAAATAATCTCTTACCGTCGATATCGAATAATCTTTTTCTTCAGAATAGAAGAAACGAATAGAGATTTTTTTGTCGTTGTTGCCAACCTTTGTTTCTCCCACACTGTGTCCATTGTTCGAAAAATACAATTTTAAAATATCCCGCCATTTGAGCACAGAATTTTTACAGCTTTCGCGCGGGAACCGTTACACGTGTTTCATTTGGGTAATTAAACTCTATAGAAATGCAATAATAAATGTTTTTCGCATTATAATAATGTACAATTATTCTATTTTAAATAAAGGAAGGCAATGCTGCGATGTGTGGTATCAGAACAAGGAAATTGCATGCTTTGGAAGAAACTTACAATCTACTTCACGAGCATAGTTAGCGTAAGTTAACTGACACAATAAATTAATATTAATATTTCAAACCTAAATATTTTCACTTTAAATTTATTGAAACAGTATGATAGGAATCGACTACTCCCTCCCTTATGATTACATTGCTGGTAAGTATTGTCATAGTAACGTTCTTGTTTATGATCACAGTGTTTTTTATCTTAAAATCACCTTCTATTTTGTCGTTGTGATTAATTGTAGAACAATGAACGAGAAGAAATACGACAAAGATTTTACCAAAATACCATGGATGCCAGCAGTTAAATCAATTGAAGAATCCATAGATCTGTCAGTATGTCAGAAATCTGTAGGAAAGCAAAGATTAAAAAGTCATTCTTGGACGAAAATCACATCCAAAAAACATATGAATAGATACATAAAATTATCGGAAGATTTTGGGAGCATATTTACATCAACAGTATATCAACTTCATAGTAAAAAGTTATCAGAAGGGAGAATACGCATGGAAGCGAGTCCATATATTTTTAAACACAAACTCACGTTTCCTCCTGTAGAATATCAGAAAAAATATAAAGGTGAGATTCAAAAAGGGCCTCTAAAAAAACATATGTATCGTTTACCAAGTAATATTGTTAGCTTGAAAGATTTAGCTGACGGTACTTGGCAATGTTCCAATAACATTCGAAGACAGGTAAACAAATCTTTTAAAAAGGGTGGAAAAATTAAGAAATTAAAGAGTACTAGGCACAGTGCTTCATTAAAAATGAAGGTAAAGTCAGATTAGTCACATTTTTATAAATACATAAATTCTACAGATTGGGTAGATTAAAAATTAATTTGTATGACT